TTTTTTTCGCCGTTTTAGTTTATTAGAGAATGAATTCTTCTTGATATTCTTGCCTAATTTAGATCCTGTGCTTAATAAAAAATTTGCTGGTGGTTACGATCGTTTTAAAATGACCGAAACACGAAAAAATAAAAGGCTGTAGAGTTGACCGTGCGTAATTAATAGACGTATTAGACTTAAAAACTAGCAAATGCTTTGACGCAACTATTTCGGCCTGATAGATAGTACGTGAAACTTTCTTGCTGAAAGAATATTTTTTCATTGCTTGCTGGAAATACTGTATGTACCTTTGTGATCATTTGTGGGAAACTTTTGATAGGCTGTGTCTGGTTTCGTACGTCATTATTTGTCATTTCTGAAACTCTTGCTCTGTAATTTGTCTTCTGCATGCATAATCAGCAGTCGTTTGTCTTAGGCTCCAAAATTTGCCAGAACTAGTTTACAGCCTCCACTGATTTGTTCAGTACAAAAATTAAAACTTGCTCAGTGTTGTTTATTTCTTATTTTAGAGGTCCCTTTTTTTGTGTGTGAAAAAAAACCCGTCATTCCCTCATAAAGCTGAATCACTTTTTTAGACGTTCGTGCTTTCTGCTTATGAGCTTATTTTCAATTATAGATCTTTCAAAGTTATTTCCTAACCTTGCCTAACGGTCAAAATTTCCTCATTGTTGAAGAGTAGCAGTCATGAATTAGTAAAATTATGATGTACAAAGTTAGACTTTAAAAGTATTTTATTTGTTACTGGTATTAGCTCAATTAAAAGAATTCATAACTAGTTTGATTTGTTATATGATGAGGTTCCAGAGGGTAGGGAGATAGGGCAGATGTTCTAGGGCTACAGTGACGTAATTTTTGAACTGTCCCCATATTGGCTGTCCTATTCCTTTGTTTCGTCAGATTCTCACCAAAGATGGTAATAAGCACTACTGATGAACAGTAAGTGAGCGATGATCGTTTACAATAAAAAAAAATTATCAAAGATATTTTTAGTTTCTTATCCCGTTTGTTTTTTAAAGTTAACAGTCGCTAATTTCAGTCATCAGTAGAAAACTTTCTAAAACTGAACTTTTTTTCCGAGTTTGGTAGTTGATTTGTCGGGGTTTCCTAGTCCTAAATGAAAATGGTGGAAGTGGAGTATTTAAGTGCGAACATTCCTCAAAGGGAGTTGAAAGGATATGAAGATTAACGGGTTTTGTTTTGAAGATGTAACTGTCACATGAGTAACTTCATTAATGCATCACATACGATTTTCAAAAGTGGTTGGTTCAGGTGAATGCTGTGGAGATAAAATATCGAGTATAGAAATTTCTTGTGTATTTTTTTATTGAACTCTTTTGCATATCCATTTTTCCATTTTCTTGTATCATCTAATTTTTTTATTGGTCTCGACACCGTGGAAGATTGGTTTTAGGTGACTAATCTTAAAAAGTTCCTTTTCTGATATTTTTCAGTCCTCGCACACGTCCTTTTTGGGAAAACTAAAATTTTGTTTTTTACTTTCTTGAATAACCTCCATTTATTTGACTTCATATTCTCCACTTAAAATTTCAGTCGCATAGTAGATCATTTGCCGGTGTGTATTTTTTGGTTTGCAATATTACCAAGTGATTAAGGCTGATAAGCAGTATTCATTTTTTTTTTTTCAATCCAGTTTAATTTCCAAAAGATTAAAGTGTTACGATAACTATTTGAAGAAAGTGGATGTCACCGGAGAGAGTACGGAAGACCTTCATTTAAAACAACCAACAAGCTGTGGCGTGAGGGAAGAACCTCCTGAAGAGAAGTTAGATGACAGCGCAAATGTACAGAAGGCAAAAGAACCAAAATCCGGCGACGAAGAGGATCTTTCAAAAAAGCTTATTATAAGAAAAGATTTTACACACGATGATATTCACCACTTCAAACCTATTTCTATGAGGAATGGAAGTGGGAGTGGTAAAACTAATGGAAAGCGCCACAGGGAGCCAAGTTGGGTTGCTCAGTGGGAAATGAATACTGCTGCCTTGAAGGAAAGCGCGAGTAAATCCGGTGCTGCATCGACGGCAAATAATGTTTTATCTGAAGTGGATGAAGGGCGAACTCGGTGAGTTTAGATATCCCCTATTAAGACGGCCCATCGGCTTTGATGTAGCAGGTTGGATCTAAGTGAGTGGTCAGAATTAGAGCTTATTAGCTCTTAATAAGCACAATATGATCTGGTTCCTGGGAAGTAACTCAGTTTTTGTTGTTTTAGCTGCTCATTTCTTTCTGAACAACTTATTTAATAATTTTGGGTATTAGGTAGGCGAATCACCTTCAGATTAATATGAGCACCATCAAGTCGCTTAACATCCCTAAGAATGGGTTTAATTTTTTCATTTCTTCCTGACGATTTGAAACAATGCCTATATAAGTTGTCAAAAGGTTTGGGAGACTTAAGAAAGTAAGCTTCTTTTTGAATTTTTCAACTGGATTCTAAGACGTCATTACTTCTTAGTTAACTTGCTTCTTGGCGGTAACGTTATAGTTGAATATTTTTTTATCGTTAGGCGTATCAGTCTTGTGCTAACGTTAGAGAGCCAGATTTCACGTAGTTTAGTTTTAGTACCATGCTGAATTTCTTTTTTTTTTTCTAGGTCTTTTGTTGCATCTTCTTTTGGGGTGCGGAAGTTGTGAAGCCTCTGAGTTTCATAAGCATTTAGAAAGGGCAGTGGCGCATTTTTCAAATTAGAAACACCTTTATAAAATTTATATTTCAAAATATTTCCGAAAGTGATTTTCTATGGCTGATGTTTTTAAGTGGTTTTGGATATGATTTTACATAGTCTTCTATTAAAATGATTATTTGGTTTTTGCTATTTCTCTTGACTTTATTAACAATTCTGAAAGGTAGAAGCAAAAACATGTTGGTGAGGTTCCTCGTTGTGTAAAATATTTTTTTTAGCACCAGTTCTGATGAGAAGGACTGTAAAATAACTTCGAATCCAGCACCTTCTGTTTATACCCCTGTGCTTGATCCCGAGCAGTATGTTGAAGAGTTAAGCAATCCTGATGTATCCGACCCTCCACAGCCAGAAGACTTGGGTAATTTTCTCTTCTTTTGTGCCTCTTAAATCTTAGGGCGCTTACGTTAGCAGCTAGATGAAGTATTTAAATGTATAATTTCAGCGAGTGAACTAGTTGTGAAGCGCAAGAAAAAGTTAAACTCATCAGAGGAAGATTGGCGTACTGGAGCGAAGACTACGCTCTTGGGGCCACCCCCTGCTGAAGAAAAACGTATAGATGGTTTGGAATCGCGCAGGACGCACAGGCCTGGTTTACTAGGCGGACCGCCGCCAAATCTACATTGTGAAGATTCGACATCTAGAAGAAGTTTGAAGCCCGGACTGCTGGACGGACCTCGCAGAGTAAGCTCTATTATTTTTTTATGTTAAGGTAAAAAATTGGCAGTAGCAACGTCTTCTGAACAATGGATGGGATCTTAGCGTTAGCATGCACTAGTCGACAATAGCGAGAATTCTCACAAGTATTTTATCGTACGATTATGTGGTCATGCTTTACGTCCGACACTTTTATTTTACATTCCCCAAGAAAAGCAACCGATAATCAAGAGATCAGATAAACTTCCTCATATCTGGAACTTCAAACTTTCTGCAGGATATTTATGGATCTAAGTCATTTTCTCTTGACGAGGACTGTAGGCCTTCTGTAGCAGGAGTAAGGAATGGTCCCTTATTAACAGCTGAAAGTTTGGAAGGCCTCTCTGAGACCGCCCTCGCCAGGGCTGCCGCGTCCTTGACAGAGCCAGAACTGATCTCTATCATGGCAAAGAAAGGAATAGCTGATCTTTTATTGTCGAGCGAAACACTGAAAGCCAAGATAACAGAGGTCTTACAGTGTTTCTTCTTTGACATTCAGGGACTTTCTGGCTGAATAATATGTTAGTTCAGTGAGCCAGTTACTTACTAACCTAACTCTTTTTCAGCTTTACTCTGAGGAGATTAAAAAGCTTCTACTCAAGGAATCTAAAGGAGAAGGTAATTCTCTTAAATAATAATTTTGTTAATCCATGTATTTATTCTTTCTCACGGCATAAATAATTTCATTTCAACCATGCACCTGCTCCTATTCAAAACAACTTTCCAACGTCATGGGTATTAGGCAAACTTATATAATTACTCCTTACTTGTGCCTTTAAATTCATTTCGTTGGTTGAAGGCCCTACCAAAAAGTTTTACTACTCCGTAAAGTTACGCAAAAATTTTTTAGAAAGTAATCTTGCTTCACAGTCGAGCGAGAAGGCGTCGCAGGAGTCGCGACACAGCTACGGTCCCCGGGCTGGCAAAGCCTTACTTGGAGCCCCACCCGGTATGAAATTAAAAACATAACAACTGTTACTTTCCAAATTTATGAGCAAACTGAGTTCTTTTTTCTCTTGCCAAACAACTAACCTGATTTCAGGTCCTGCAAGATTTGAAGATTTTAGTAGGAGTAGATACTATGAAGAGCCGCCCAACGGACAGTGGCGAGAAGGTTATCGAGGTTTGTACAACATCTATGATAATGCACCTGACTACTGCCGGGAAGGACCAAACCAAAGGTGGCGTGAAAGCACATATCGCGGAGGGGTCCCCGATTACCGTCAACATCGTGCCTTGGAATTACAACGTTTTGAGATGTGGGAAGATTCTATTGATGACCGTAAGAACACTAGAGAGTGGATGCCGCGTGACCTCCCAGGTCCCGATGAATATAGGGAAGCAAGATTTGGGCCCCCTTTTCCACGGAATATAAATAACGGCTCACACGACTTGCAGCAACCATATGGTGGGCCGTATAGACGTGAAAACCGCTTTCGGGACCACAGGGAGTCCAGTTTTAGTGGGGATAAAAGAAATTTCTAATCGGTGTGCAAAAGACAATGGGTTTAGGCACGGAATACAATTTAGTATAAAAAAGTACTTTTGCGTATCGTGAATGCCATTATAGTCACCTGAAGTTTTGAGAATTCGGTTCCATATTTCTAACTAAAGCCGATGAGCGTACTTCACAGTAGAAGATTCAACAGGACAGGAGTTACATATACATTGGTCGTACCAGTAAGGGGCTCCCATCTAATCCACTGTTACCTTTTGTCATCTTGCCAATTTTCAAAACTTCAACAACTACTTAGACGTCAATCTCATTTCATGCTTTCCCATACTGTAACTATAAAAATGTAAATAATAGATAAAATTAAATTTTAGAGGTCGAACGCGTATGTAAAGCCATTACTGATTCAGAAGAAGGAAGCACAAATAAATGCTTTATCGCTATGTCACAACAATGGGACAGGAGTCACTCGGTCAGAAAGCTAATTTGAATTCCACTCCTCATCCAAGGCATCGATTAGTCCATCACCTTCTCCGTTGTCATCTAGTTGGTCGCTCACTCTTTTGACATCTTCTTTCACTGCCTCTCGGACTTGTTCTATTGCTTCCTGGAACTTATCATCTTTCGTCAGTTAGTTCACAAGTCTGGTAGAATTGCATTTGACATTTGGGTGAGTATCTGTGAGAGTAGGGTCCAAAGACATTTGAAAATAATGTAATTTGAAGTACCATTCTTCAAAATTCTCATCAAACTAAGTGGAGGGTAAGAAACTCACAGGAGGTAACCATCCGTACTGCTCGTCTGCGCGATCACCTTGAGCGAAGTAAGTCTTGCGCAGGACTTGTTCCGCTTCTGGAAGACGAACATCGCATAGACAGTACCACATCTGCCTTACTTTGGGTAGCTGACCTGAAATTGCATTGACTATTATGGGTTATGAACGACTGTAAAGTGGTTGAATAGGAAGTAGTGCACCTGGAGAATACCAGTAGTCGATAAGCTGCTCTTCCGTGTTGAACGAGGAGGCGTCTTGCGTAAGAGAGGCACTGTTGCAATTGATAGCAATGGGAAGACTCCGCTCAGAAGTAATCTAGACTGACTGTCATTACTATGAGCTTCAACTCGCTTCAAAAATGTTTGCCAACTATAAGACAAAAAACAAGTTTTAAAGCTTCGCACGACTACAAATTCTAATTTCTCTATTGAAGAGGAATGCATAACTACCCTAAATTACTGCAGCAATAACGAAAAGACTTCCATTTTAATGCAAAACTACCACACTTGAACGATGTGAAAACGCGAGTGGTCTCACTTTTTTGCATAGCTCTCTGAACTTTCAGCCACAGTCGTAAGTCCAGTAGCTATCAAGAGAAATTATAGAAATGTTTTGCTAATTTTCTTCGCTCTCTTTGCTCACAAATTGGCTTAAGGCAAAAACGAGATCTAGGTTCTGTAGTAGCATAAATGCTCTGTCGTTTTCCTGACTTCATATTTTACAAAAGAGCCCCGAAGAATTTGGGGGTCCACTAAAAGAAGTTTTCAAAATATTCACGGGCAGCGCAAAACAGTCAACCCACAAACAGTCCTAATCCTGATCCCGCAATCAAAGGCATAAATTAAAATTTTTAAGATTGTTACTATGCTCCTCAATGCAAAATGATTTTCTCAAAAAACCCCTACCCTTTTATAAATTTCGCTTTAAAAAACTTTCGCGAAGTAACATGGTGCAATGCTGTAGGCAATTGGGATTAACAATGTCTCTGAGCTTATAACCTTTCGTCAATTAAATAAGGATACCAGTTCCAAGTCAGTGTAACAAAATCATATGATTTCTAAATGCCAAATCTCATGATTCTACAGCATTTTTGAGAGGGCACAAGGTGATAATCTCACTGCTCACAAATGACTGAAAACTAATTAATTTCTAGCCCTACTTCACATTTTCGACATATTAGGCAAAATTTCTCTACCTTAACCACTTTTAGCCGTCTTCTTTCAGGAATCTTCGTGTGCTGTCTGAAAGTGACCATTACGGTTTGATAGATCTTGGCCTGCAAAATGAATCCCTTGAAACGTTAATTATTTAGATAATGCCTCGAAGGAAGTGTATAACGCCTTGAAAGTTGGACGTATGAGGCGTACATCAGGGTCTGTTCGAGGGTCGTAGCCAAACCGGCACCACAGACGCCCCCAAGGTCCACTAGATATATAAAATGCAAATTTCTGTATCAGTGTCCTGCAAAAAATTGACCAACATTGGAAAACAAACTATAACATTTAGCGATAGGCATGATTAGCGGAAAAATAATCAGTCTACCACGATCATATTTGGAGAGCAAGTGTCATATGTTTACAACACGTATAAGGGCTCAGAAATTAGTTAGGACTAAAAGCCTACGTAATCTCAGCCATAATACCTTGAGAAGCTGAAAAATTAGATATAAAATGATAAAAGTACTTTATTAAACAAGCTTCAAGTCCGGTTTTACTGGCAATACCAATCCTGGTCCACATAGGTCTTTCTTTAAATAAGTCTTCTAGCAGTTTATGCGGCCCCTCATGTTTACATCTGAAAATTAATTTCTTTTCACAGGAAAATGGACTCGCTTTCAAAATATGGAACTATGAAGAATGACAGATACAGCTACTTAGTACGACAACTAACAGAATACACAATTAAGCTCAAGGGACTTGGACATTTGGGCAGATTTTAATGCAGTTTAATGGGGACCTGAGATTCGCATCCGCTATTGCTTCCTCGGATGGTGCAGCTGGAAAGACGTCATTAGCATGTACGGTAACTGACAACGCCCGTCGTTCAGAACGCAAACCTATACAGTCGGAAGTATAATCCGATATTAAGAAAAGTACTTTCCGGTATCTGTTACTGATATCCTAACAACATTAAGCCAAAAATAAACTAACAAGTCTCACAAAGTACAATCAGAATTCTGATTAGCGGCAGCAATTAAAGGCATAATAATAAAAATTCTTTACTTTGTCCATGACCGCCATTCTTTTGCTTGATCTTTTCTATCGAATAGTCTGTTTCCCTACAGAGGATCTTATTTGACGGAGTATTATACCTAAAAAACAACCTTCAACAAGTCAACAACGTCCATAAAAAAATCCACCCAAAAAGCCTAGTTTTTGCTTTACTACAAAACGTGCAACATCACTCAAAGAATTCCAAATCCCTCGTCTTTTCCAATTCCCCCACTTTCTACAACTGAAAAATAAACCGATTTTCCTCTTCACCTTGAAAATTGATAAGGAGGCAAGAACAGGGGCGTATCATCACTACCACTACAAGTTTCCCACCACGACAAAGCACTGGGTAAATCGTTTGGAATTAGCCTCAACGCCTGCAAAAAGTGCCTCCTCACTACGCTACACAAAATAAAAACCAAATAAAAGAATTCCTCAGAGAAGCAAAAAAAAAAATTGAAAACCAACTAAATCATCAAAAACAGAGTCCATTCCTTCTTTCTTTTGCAGTGGTAAATATTGGAAGTCACACATCGCTTTAAAACAGTATACGGTATTCACCTAAAAAATGCAACGAAGTGAAGAAATAAGTTGAGTTTGTGGAACATTTTTTAAAAACTTGTAATGCGAATATCACCGATATAATTTAACAGATTTTGCATCTCAATTCCTGATAAATCTGAGGATTTATCACAAGTTGTGAAAAATATCAGTACGACTTTAGTTCTACGAATGTTCTAGAAAAGATAATCTAAGATATTTGACCAAATTTTTTAGATTTATATAACCTATTCTAATAACAGTGCCAGAAACATTTATAAAGACCGTGGAAGAGCAAAGATCATCTCATATCAAAATGACATAAGTCAAAAGCCTGACTTACTATACCAGTAATCTTAGCCTCTGCGACTTGCGGCGATCTCTTTTTCCTTCTAACTTTCAAAATTCCAAAAACCGTTCCCGTGCCCGAAGACTTCTCAACTGTTTGGCGTTCAGATATCATAGGATTAGCATACACGTTATCGGGCCTGTACCGAAGTTCTAAAGGTCGATGAGCAGCATGTGCCTAAGAAGTGCTAATTTAACATTTGATACATTTTCATTTGGAAGAACTGGTAACAAACTAAGTAACACCGTCCTCCCTAAGCAAATGAGAGAGCAGGAAGTTTTCTTCTAAAGTCTCTTTAAAAAATTTACTTTTTTTAAAAAGCTACAGAAATACAAAGATAAAAAACCATCAAATGCGAGTTAAATCAAGATGTTGAGGTCATTTTAGCAAAGAATGACACAAGTAACTAAAACCACTTATGCTAGTAAATTCAAATGGAAAGTATTGAAGAAGTTTAATTCACCAATACGCTTCGAGACACAAAGTAAACTGCTACAGTAGGAAATCAGCTCCCATTAAATAAAGAATAGTTTTAAATCTGCTTTCTTCCAGAACCAGAGTGGTAATAACAACGAATTTAACTAACACAAAAAACAAAAAGTCTTTAACGAATAATTAATAAATAAAAACTGTGCATAGTGAAAATTCAGAAAGAACTCAAAATATTTTAAAAAGGTTAATAATGGAAAAAAGAAAATAACGAGCAAATGTGAACAAAAGCTACGAGTACCATGTTGATAATTCGTTCCCCGCCAAGAGAGTCAATAGCTTTCTGTACATTTTTTACAATTCCAGGATAGTTGATTACCACATACTCAACAGACTCCTCCTCGCTGGTTGACGGATCCTGATATAATCCAGAGTTGTGCATCTGGCCCTGTAAAAAATTTAACTAATGTCTAATGGAATCCATAAATTCTTGCAATTCAATCAGTAAACGTAACTAATTAAACAGCGTGGAACAAAAAGCTTGTAAAAAATGAAAAGTCAAGCATGACATTTAGAAAAGCTAGTGTTAGCAAAAAACATATATATGCTCAAAAGCAAACTGCAACCCATTTATGTTCTAAGCTGAAGAATTCTACTGAGCAATTGTTGTGCAAAAAAAGCAATTGCTGTTTTTGTTATAGTAAGCTTACTGAATCAAATCCAAACCTACTGCACTTAAAACCTCCAGAACATTTGTTTCTCTAAACCTCAAGGGTATTCTTCAACAAAGTTTTGTTAAGCAAACTAGTGAAAAATTACAAGTCCAAAGCTTTGCAGGAAATCCCTTCACAAGCCAGAGGAATTCGTAGTTAATCGTGCTTTGAAGCGACAATAATAGTGGATTGAAAAATAAAATGAGCATTTTTATAGTCCACTATTAACATACTCCCCTGACCCCTATAAATGCGGAGTAGCAGTAATGCATCGCCATCTCGAAACAACCCGCTATTACGTTCAGCACAAATCGTAACTTCCAAGCAGCAGCATCACTTTGATTCCCTACCCAATTCTAGAACGGTAGAACATTGAACTGTTTTCTGTGCTTCTCCCAGTATCTTACCATCCGGACACTAAATTTCCAAATAACTTTGTAATTTTGAGCTTCTTTTTTATACCACAATGTTTCTCATACTTTAACAGCCGAGAAAAGTCTAAGAAGAAATTACTACTGTAGCAAGCCATAGAAAGATAATTAGCAATAGCTGCGGAGAAAGGCAAACAGAAAATTCTCCAGAACAAACAAAAGAATTTGTCAATCTCTACTTATTGAACCGTATTCCTTAATTAGCTTAATATTTTTGAAAACTGAAAAAAAATTTTTTCAAAAAATATTATTCTAATCAAAAAGCAGTAATTAAAATCATAACAATTTATGATAGCCAAGTTTGGTGGAAAATCATTTTACAAATGAACCTTCATGTCAAATTACAAACAAATTCTTCAGAAGTAAACTACAGATCCTAGCTTTTCAGGAGGATCTTAAATAGTGTATTCATATAAATGTGTTAACGCACAAATATAAAATATAAATTTAAATTTAAATATAATAAACAATTTAACAGATATATAAGCGTAAACAAGCAAATAAATAAAGATGTACATATATAAAGATGTATATACACATACATATATATGCGTCTAAAAAAAGCGTAATCCAGCGTCTCTTCGAAACGCACAGACCAAACTTCTCGAATGTGATCAAACTGCGAAAAAGCTTCAATACTTAGGCAGCGTTTTTTTAAAATTTGTTGATACGTTATTTATTCAATCGCGGAAAATTCGTCACTTTTTTACTTTTAAAATTTTACAGCACTATAGCAACAAATTTGATAGTTTGTAGCGACTCAGTAATATTCATAGCGTTGCATTCTCAAACTTCCAACTTTTTTAGGTGCTGAGGTATTTGTGCATATATACGTATTTCTAATGCCTTATTTAGCTGCATTAAGCAGTACACCCTCATCTACTCATCTACTTTGGCTTTTTACTTTGGAGAGCACTAAAGTCCAAAATTTGCAGATGGTCCAGATTTTTTACTGTCTAAACTTTTAGATTGAAAAGTTGGAATAGAAATTACGAAGTAGTGAGATTAGCAGTTCATGTATAATTTTTCTTCTGAGACAACTTTATTTTGTTTACTGTGCGACTGGCATACTTTATCGTTTGTTAACTCAAAAAATTTTTGCTTTACTTCCAATAAGATGGTTGAGCTGTCACATTATTGTTACACCAGTTTTTTATTTTCTTGTTATTAATGTGGATTTTTTTTTGCAGACTATTATAACTCGTATTGCATTTGGTGTAGTATTACTTGCTGTCACATTTTCAATCACTGTTATAGTTCTATTGTTAATTTGCTCTGTTAAAATAATTTTGGCACTTGCTTGTGTAGATATGTATCTGAACTATTCAGTCGAAGTTGGCCATGATATCGAAGGCGGTTGGATCCATTGTCATATGTATTATTTATATGTGAAATAGTTTAGAATGGTTGAGCAGGTAACCGAATCTGATGGAGCCAACCGTGAGGAAGAAGAGCGAAAACGTGCTTTAGCCGCTTACAGAAGGAAGCTGGCTGAGTACCGTGAAGTCGAACAGCGGCTTAAAGAACTTCGAAAAAAGGTATGGAACTATCGTATTTTTTTTTAACTTGAGAATTGCATGGCTGGACGAACAGACCCATAAAGATTTAGATTTAGCCGAATATAGCATTACTTTATTTCTTTAGTTTATTTCAAAATGAGTGCGAATTAAACTTAGTTAAGGAAAAGGAAATGGAGAAGGAACATGATAAATCAGAGAATGATATCAAGTCACTGCAGTCTGTTGGACAAATAGTTGGTGAGGTGCTGAAACAGCTCACAGAAGAAAAGTTTATAGTTAAAGCGACAAATGGACCGCGCTATGTGGTAGGGTGTCGTCGGTCTATCAATAAAGATGCTCTCAAGCAGGTATGTTACTTGGTTTTTTATATTATGTGTAGATATATATTGCAATTGTGTTGAGTGGTACATGAAATTTGTGAAATTGCTTAAGATTCTCGCACTTGCTTTTTTTTTTTTTAGAAAGGTGTGTTGCTTTATTTTGGTACCATTTTTAGGGCACTCGTGTCGCCCTGGACATGACTACTCTGACCATAATGCGCCAGCTTCCCAGAGAAGTTGACCCTTTAGTTTACAAAATGAGCCATGAAGATCCTGGAAATATTTCTTATTCGGAGGTTGGTGGGTTGAGCGAACAGATTCGGGAATTAAGAGAGGTAAGAACTTTATCTTTTTTTAATGGGTTGAAATTGTTTAATTTGTTTACAAAAGTCCTTCAGCTTGCTGTTCTCTGTTTTTTTATTGCTCGTTTTCTTGAGGTGTTGGTTTTGCAACACGCATGGCTTCAAAAGTCTTAAACTGTCTTTTTTAGCTTGTAAAGCATTCAGAAGAGATGAAATTCCCTAAAATGTTGTGAATTAAAACTTTTAGGTTGTTGAACTCCCACTAATCAACCCTGATTTGTTTCGTCGTGTTGGCATAACGCCTCCAAAAGGATGTCTTTTATACGGACCGCCCGGAACAGGCAAGACCCTTCTAGCGAGGTGGAGATTTTACAAAAGAAGCATAACTGTTAAGCAAACAATTTTTATTATCTCTCTGGTTTTACCATTAATGAGCTAATCTCACCTAGAACTTTGTAACTGTTTTTACTTTTGCCGAAGCTGGTAAATTTAAGAGCAGTGGCTTCACAACTGGACTGTAATTTCCTGAAGGTCGTTTCTTCTGCTATTGTCGACAAATATATAGGAGAATCTGCACGAATGATCCGGGAGATGTTTAATTATGCCCGCGACCACCAGCCTTGTATAGTTTTTATGGACGAAATTGATGCTATTGGTAGAGTTTTTATTCTGCGTTTCTGCAGCCTACTCAATTTTCTCAAATATTTTTTTTTACCTTCTTTCTTATCTGGAAATAATTACCGGGACTGATTGGATTTGTACTTTATTTTGACACATTCTTGTTTCTTAGAGCAGTACTAACCTTTTTCGCTGAGATTGTAGCCAAATGGTTTAAGGTGGCCGTCGGTTTTCCGAAGGGACCTCAGCTGATCGAGAAATTCAGCGTACGCTTATGGAACTTCTAAATCAAATGGATGGCTTTGATTCCCTGGGTAAAGTCAAAATCATCATGGCCACTAATCGCCCTGATACATTAGATCCTGCGTTATTAAGGCCAGGTCGACTTGATAGGAAAATAGAAATCCCCTTGCCTAACGAACAGAGCCGTTTGGAAGTATTGCTTATTTGAAATCCTTCGCTTTTTTCGATTTTCTTTTGCAGATCTCTGTTTGCAGTGACTATGAAGTTTATCTTTTTTAAATAAGCTTTAGGAAACTAATTTTGCAACATTTATCTTCTTTTTTGTTTTCAAGTTGAAAAATTCCTATTTTGTTTTTTTTTACCTAGTGATGACTTTGTCTTCAATTCTGAGCTTATATTTGGCTTTAATCTAGAATTGTATGGTGTTTGTGATAAGCGAAATTTTCTTTAAAATATTTCTTTGATATCATCAAAGTCTCCTCATTATTCATTAAATTTTAAACGTTTCTTTGCTGAACTGTTGAGTGAAAGATGTCATTACAGATTTTAAAAATTCATGCTAGTGGTATAACCAAACTGGGCGAAATAGATTACGAAGCGGTAGTGAAACTCTCTGATGGTTTTTCGGGGGCAGATTTGAGGAACGTTTGTACTGAAGCAGGTTTGCGATTAAAAATTTACTGTTTTGAGTTCTCAAAAAAAAAAATGAAGTTTATTAGCTTTTAGGGCTTTATGCAATTCGAGCAGAAAGGGAGTACGTTATCGATGAAGATTTTATGAAGGCAGTCCGGAAAGTTGGTGATTCTAAGAAGCTTGAAACCAGACTGGATTATAAACCAGTGTAGCTTTCATATTTGCGACCATTTGCTTATTGTTACTTTTATTTGTAATTGGAATCAGCGATTTATCTCTGGGTTATTTCCTTCGTTTTATTGTTATGTTTTCGTGCAGAACCGTATAAAGTATTGCGCAGGAGCGTCTAAAGATGAAAATACACATTAAATAAGTTGTATTAATTTAGTTTTTGAGCTAAAAGTTTGCTGGGCGCACACAGGTCGAGTAGAGACAGATTTCAAAAGACAGTCTACACACTAAAAACAGTTTCTCAAATGAACTTGGCAGCTTCCTCTAAAGCTGTTTTCAATCCATGTTTCCCCAAAGATGTAGTCAGTGTTTCTGAACAAATCCGAAAGACAGTCTACACACTGCCACTGGTTAGAGTGGTGTTCTCACGCGTATTGCAAGCTCACAGATTGCGCACCATTTATTAAGAATCTTACAAATTACGTGGGTTAGCCGGCTGCATCTGATACTGGCCACCCTAATTATAGTTTTGAAACTTTTGTGAATTTCATACTCCATTATATATTTCTTTCATTGCATTTTAATGTGCTTATTTTTATGGTAGCAGAATCCAACGTTAAGTCAATTCCGATCTGTAGCGATAGCTTGGATCAAGCAATTTGCAGGACGTTTTTTGAGACTGCTGGTCGCTTTGAAGCTTATAATCGTCTACTTCACTCCCTTCATGCCACTAACGTCGTTCTCGTAGTTCCCTTTTTCTTCAACTTTATTTCCAGCACTTGACTTGTCAGTCCCTTGCCTAGCTAATATTTTTTCCAACGTCCATTCTAATTCACTGCCATTCTTATTTTCCCAAATTTTTTTGCTGCTTATGACCACCTTTTTTCGAGTCCTTTTTATGCAGTTCTCACATAATTCCGCTTTATCAGCTGGACCCTCCACTCAACTGCCGCGCATGGTTGGGGCAGATTAGGACATCTAACTTCAAAAACTGTAAAATAAGACAGCTCTTAACACTAGATAAGTCCTATTTCCGCTTTTTTCTGTTGCAAATGAGTTGTAAAGGCGGATTTTGTCCTTGGAATTTCTAGCGAGAACTAATTGGATTACAAAAATGAAGGGTGGTGACGGTTTGCAAAATAAAGAAGGAAGTTGGTTAAAGCACAGTTTTTATGATTAATTTATGATCATTCCTTCAAAATTTTCATGCCAGTTTGATGAGCTGCTGTTGCACAAAGATCAATTATGAATGTAGATGTCGCATAAAAC